AGGAGGGAGGGACTAGGGAAGGGAATAAAAGAGAACAATAGACATGCTTATATTATTTGGGAACATTGGCAAATAACCTTACATTGTGTATTGTGTAGATACCACCAACACAGTCTGCGACACGGCAGGCTGCAGCCAAGCATGTGTAGTGAGTGACAACAACACACCAGTTTGTACATGCTTTGCGGGATTCACACTGCAACCTGGCATTACTACAAACTGTGTTGGTAAGTGATGCAAAGTCAGCAGGAAGTCAAGGAGTGTGTGTGTGTGTGTGTGTGTGTGTGTGTGTGTGTGTGTGTGTGTGTAGGTGGGTGAGTGTGTGTGTGTGGGAGGGGGGGGGATGGATGTTTGACCCTATGGATTATTGTAATACAATCTAAAAGCTTTTAATGGAAAAAAATATCCATCAATTTTGAATAGAGTTTGAAATACATGTATTTGTTATTGAAGAAGGTGGTGCCGCCTGGTGTCAGAGGTATAAATTTGTGAAAAATTTTTAAGGGCTGCCAAAATTCGGTGACTTTCAAAGTTATTTAAAAACTGCAAATTTACATTTTTTTGTGCCTTTCTTCAACGTAGTTCAGTTGAATCCACACAGAAGGGTGTCCTTATATGGATATAAAAGATGTTGAGTGCCCCTCAAAAACTTTGATATAGATTGGCCAGTTGTGGGAAAAATGTCGGTTTCTTAGATTGTATTATTTTGATAAGCACTTGATTTCCCAACGATGCCACACATGTATTATATATACATGTTTAGTATATTATTCAGTTGTCTTTTTCTAAGCGATGGTCAGGGAAGTTTTAGTCTCTATGGCCTGGTGGGTATTTTTGTAATGCTGTGGTCTACTGGATAATTTTTCATTTTTCGAACTTTTATCATAAACTTTTTATTGCAGAAAAGGATTTTAAGGGATTTTACAATGCTTATATACAAACTGACAAAGACTGTGAGATTATACACAGAGACACTGTGTTTTATGCTATGAAAGAAACAGAAATAAAATTGAATGTTCCTACCAGATGTGGATGAGTGCCTGTCTGGGTCATCTATCTGTGATCAACTATGCACAAATACTAATGGAAGCTACAGCTGTGCATGTTTCCCTGGCTCTAGACTGAATCAAGACGGCACCACTTGTGATGGTGAGTGTTGTTGCTGTTGTCACCGTTAATCTGATTATGTGACGATTTCACTTCGTAGAAAAATTGTAGTGATTGTCTGAAGTAGTATAGTACTGGGTGATTTTTTAAAAAACCGTTACAATTTTTTTAAAATAAATTTTTCTCATCGCTGAAGGTTTGCATTTTAAATTTGAACACAGTATTTGGAAGTCTGCGCTCCTCTCCGAAACGGAAAGTCTGGGTTCAAGCCTTGGTTCGGACACAGATTCTTTTCGCCCCCTCCTGCCCACCCAGTAGTAATGGGTACCTGACTTCGAGTTGATGAAGTAAAGGCAGCGTGGAAAGAAAGCCATCCTACCACAATATTATGCTGGATCGATAACAACAACAACCACAATATTATGCCGAAAGCCCAGGACGTTGTCTCACTAACAAGGCAATCCCAATGTCCGGATCAGATGCGGGAACAACTTTATTTGAAAGTCAAAAGGAATTTGGCTGATATTCATTTTAGAAAAAGAAAATATATTAGCATGACTACCTAGTGATGTAGGCATCCAAGAAAACAGTTATTTTGATTGTCTAGCCTTGGGATCCTTGTCCCATCTGTTGACGTCAGCAGAAAGCACCCTCCCACAGACAGACTTTAAGAATAAAGTTGTTGTTGTTATTGGCGATCCAGTAGCATCTGAGCGTTAACTCTTCTCATGATGCCATTCTGTAATTGCTGCATGTCTGTTCTAATTGTTGTCTTGAGGAGTAGAGACAGTTAGATGTGTGGGATAGCTTGGGAAGAAAACATCCCTTTAAATCAGTTAGTTTTCTATAGAAGAACAGATGATGTTCCACTGTCTCTGAGGGGCAGTCACATAGTGGGCAGGCAGGTCAAATGCTAAACCTCCAGTCTGCTGGAGAAGCAGTGGAGCAAACAATTAAACAACACACTTCACTATATCGTGCCCAAATTGGACCTACGAAAACCTTCAGTTTCCTCCAAAAGAGATGGGAGTTGTACTGATTTAATTACATATTGGACATACCTCCCTGATACAAAATACTTCCTGCAGGATGATGAAAAACCATTTTTTGTTGGGTGCGCTCTAATAGAGTGTCAAGACTGTTGAGAGTCTCAAAGGAAATGTTCTTCACTAATTTGAAGAATTTGTTGTCCGTCGTTGATCCCAACAGAATGCTCTATTTTTATAAAGACCACTGGTTTTTACTCTAAAATATAAATAGTTTTATTTTAAGAATACGAATAAATGCTTTCACAACTGAATTTTCAATAACTTCAACCTTTCCAACTTCACAAAAGAAAACCAGGCTGTACTTTAAACTAACATGAAGAGAACCATCTGGAATGGCATGCTCATTTGACCTTATGCAGCTACGAGCTCTGTAAAACTCTTATCAAACAAACAAGCAGAGGAAGAAAAGTTGTGTTGAAGGAAGAGGTGGTGGTTGAAGTTTAGACTGGAATTATGTGCTCTATTATGTTGCTTTTTGTGTAGATATAACTCTGTATGTGTGTGTGTGTGTGTGTGTGTGTGTGTGTGTTTGTGTATGTGTGTGTGTGTGTGTGTGTGTGTGTGTGTGTGTGTGTGTGTGTGTGTGTGTGTGTGTGTGTGTGTGTGTAAAAATTCTAGCATACAGGCCAATTTATGTGTATGCTGTTGTTTAGTTGTTCATGAATAGTTTGTATATTTTGGAGTGGTTATATTTGTGTTCTTTTTCTTTAGGATGCTGTGCCTATGTGTATGTGTTTTTGTTCCTGTACACAATCAATATTTATGAACTTTTAGTATATGCATATTATCCAAGTGTGATATCTTAATAATTATATCAATCATCATGCCCTGTGACCATTCCCCCACAGCCTGTGAGAGTCCCAACTATGGTGAAGAATGTAGACTCACATGTGAATGCAATAGCAGAGGCTTGTCCTGCGATCCTGTCAGAGGTTGTGTCTGCCAGCCAGGCTACACAGGCACCAACTGTGTGGACGACGTCAACGAATGCTTGCAGGCAGATGTGTGCGGTGTAAGGCAGAGCTGTGTCAACACTGAAGGATCCTATCGGTGTGAATGTGAGGCAGGATATATGATGATGAACGATAGTACTTGTGAAGGTAATTCTGCATATTATTAGTTTATGTACAATTATTGTGGTGCAATACTCATTATTTCATAGAATTGTTCAAATATTAGGATAATTCTGCTAGCTAGTGTTATTCTTTGAATGTCTTTGTTTTTAAAATATTTTGTTACTTTGGAAAGAACTTGCTTTTTCTGACCTTACATTGTGAAGAAAGGGAGCAAAATATAAGCACAGGAGACAGTCAGCCGCTGTGGGCTGAATTAGTTAAAGGGTGTACTGCTTCGGCCCTGCCTATGAGGGTAAAAGGTAAACGCTATCTAATTATTCCAGCACAGAGATGGTGATATTCAATAAAGTAGACTTGATGGGTGCTCTGATGTGGTTTGTTTCTTTTATCACTATTTACTGTTATCCTATACTACCTTCCTTATTTTTTCGTATTTGTTAATCTTTTGTAACGCTTATCTTCTGCACTTATATGACCTTAAGTGTTGCAAGTGCGGTAAAACCTTTAAGAAACCAATAAAACCTGACTTGCTTAAAGGGGGAATCCAAATACTTGTGTTTTTTGTGCACAAATTACACTACAAAATAATAATTAATGAAGAGTACAAATTTGTAAACCAGTAGCGCCACAGCAGCTTATAAACTTCATGTAAGATTATCCTGTTTTTCACTCCAGATGAAAATGAATGTGCTGACATTCTAACCAACAACTGCAACAGTTCGTTGTATGAAGTGTGTCGCAACACAGTAGGAAACTACACTTGTGATTGTGAATCTGGCTACTCCAAGAATTCTATGGACATCTGTCAAGGTGAGCATCTATTGTGGAGAATCCTACACTATGTTTATATGCTGATGAAGTACTCTGAAGTGTGTAGCATGAGAGTCAATGAATTTATTGCAAGGTTCCAAGCACAACAGGAAGCTCTAAGTGTACACAGGGGATTTGTAATGATGAGCAATTCAAGAAGTAGAGTGTATTTTGGTTTAAAGTCAAAGCATTCTAGTTTTCTGGTTTAAGCTTTGGACTGACAAGGATAAGATCATAGATTCTGTACCTAGCAGTACCAAGCAGCAGGAGGAATCTTTAGGATAGTTACATTTGTCTTTTTATCCAGCTGCCCACAATCAGCAGAGAATGTATTATACTATATATGTCATGGCGCTCGTCAATTTTTCGGCATGTAGAGTTATTGGTATCATCTTAACGTGTATTCATTTGACTTGTTTTCCATTTTTTTAAATATGCCCATCTATATTGAAAAAGACTTGTGATATTAGCGATTGAAGAAGGAGAGGGTCGCCTGGTTCAGAGTAAAATTAGAGAGAAAATGGCTGCAAAAGTTTGGTAATTTCAATAGCTTGAGACTCCTTGCAAACTGTAAAGTTACATTTTTTGTGCCTTTAATCAACGATTTTCAGTAAAATTCACACAAAAATGTGTTTTTAAATAGACATAAAGGTGATGGGCCACAAGAAAAAAAAATTGATTAAATTTGCTAAACCGGCTGAAAAATGCTGTTACCATCAATTTTATTAATTGGACGAGTGCCTGATTTTTTCATGATGCTTTGCATATATCTTAATGACAGCTGCATATGCCGAACAGGAAACAATATGTGTCCGGACATTGTGAAAACCAGCCATTCATCAGTTTAAGAGCATGTGGAGTTATTGGTATCATCTAAAAACTTCTTTATTGGCCTTGCTTTCTGTGAAAAAAATATGCATCTATCTTGAAAAGAAGTCAAATATTTGCGATTGAAGGAGGTATGGGTCTCCTAGTTTCAGAGGTAAAATTAATAAGAAGATGGCCGCCAAATTTTGGTAATTTCCAAGGCTTGAGAGTCCTTTAAAACAGCAAATTTATATTTTGTGTGCCTTTAATGAACATTTTCTGTTTAAATCCCCACAAAAATGTGCTTTTAAATAGATGCAAAAGATGTTAAGCCAAAAAACAAAAAATTGATAAAAATTGCCAGACAAGTGTAAAAATGCAATTTTCTACGATTTCATTATTTTGATGAGCGCTTGATTCCATCATGATGCCTCACATATTCCGTTTTCCCCTTGAATAGTAAGATGGTAGTAAAGTGACTTACAGGCCTAGTTCAGTGACAGTGTATTGTCGAGGGGATGTGAGATTTTCATTAGAAGAAGCAATGTGAGTCTTTTATTAGAGAGAGCACATTAAAATTTTGTAAAAGAGAACCTTTGTTTAAAATGGAACAGAAGGCCTATTCAGTTTATTTGAGTTTGTGCACATGGTCAGAGAAAGGTAAACGTTTATAAAGACTAGAACGTGATTTGCATTATTGGTAGGCAAGGTAGGTTGAATGCCAGGCAGGCATTTAATGTCTCTTTAAGGTCCAAGTCAAAATGTATGGCTCTTTTCATCTGTGCAGCCGGTCAATTTAGCTTAAGATGGTCTCAAGGTTGTCTTTATGCAGTTTCTTTCATGGCTAATTCTTCCTATGTTTGAAGCGCAGATTCTGTTACAGTGGTTGCATGTCAGTGATGTGGATCGAAGCTCTGTATTTCCACTGTTTTCCTTTCAGCGTTGGCGCTTCTCAGCCTGGTTGTTTCTGAGGCTGCTTTCTAGCTTTTTAGTTCTTTCCTTTATTGTTTTCCTCCATGTTTTTCTGTCCTCAGCTATTTCTTCCCTGATGCTGACATCTACTTCAAACTTAGATAAGCTGTTTTTGCAGGTGTCTTTGTACCTCAATTGTACCTGGTCAAAATAGAGATGTGATAAAGAGAGGACCCAAAATCTATTTGGCATGACCTTTCACTGTTTTGTTTCAATTTTTTTAAAGAATGGCTTGCTTTGAGTATTCTAGTCTTGGCTTTTCTAACCAGTATGTTATGCCATAGTGAGGGGGTTTCCATACATTTTAAACAGCTTGCTGATGAAACTTGATCTTATGCTTTTCATACATCCTTTGTTGAAAAAATTATTTGTTAAAAGTTCTCTGTAAATGAGTTTAAAATTGTCACTGATTTGCTCTCCAGATATTGATGAGTGCAGCTTGAAAACAGACTCTTGTGATCAAATTTGTGTCAACATGGATGGTGGTTACAACTGTGACTGTCAATTTGGCTATGTCCTTGATGATGTAGACAGGTCAAAATGTGTGCAAAGTAAGTTTTTATTTTTCTGTCTGTCTGTTTGTCTTTTTGTGTGAATGATAATAAGTTTGAATACTAAGTGGTCACTTGTCTTTAGTGTGGTTTAGGTCAAATTAGACTTGGACTGCCACTGTGGGTAAGTCCACCACTCCAGCTGTTGAACCTAGCAGCCTACTTTTGGTTGTATTCTGTTTTAGGTTGTAAATTGCTTCAGTTTTACTTCTGAAGTCAGAGATTATGCTTTCAGTAGATCACATTTAGCACTCCCTCTCACAAACCCAATGCTTATATGAAACTATAACTCTTTCTGTTATTGTTTATTGCAATGGAATTCCACTCTTGCCTCCTGTGTTTGTCACCAAGTGGCTACAGACTGTTGCAATAAATTCACTGTTCTATTGGTATTTTGACTAAGTAACAGAGCTTATCATGTTTATGGCACTCAGTATTAGTGCTTGTTGTATATATTGTCACAGTGTAGTACAGGTGATAAGTGGGTTTGGATGTACCTTTAGACTTATGCTATTTAGAAAGGTTTTCAACTACTATATGGAAGTACGGGATACGGCACAAAGATCTCTCTTATTTTGAATGAATATTTTGTTTTTCTCTGGGGGGGGGGTTTCACTTCAGCTTGACCAAACAAACATTGAAGGTTTCTTCATTCTGCATTATTTTCTTGCTTCTGTCAGTTGAAGATGTCTGCAAAAACGAGCCTCAACTGTCCTGCTCTTTTGGATGCAGCGTGAACCGCACCACCAATGAGACTTTTTGCTATTGCCCTGATGGAGGCTACAGACTCTCTGCTGCAGATAATCAAACATGCCTAGGTGGGATATTTGTCTTGTGTAGAATGGTAGTGGATCTTCTGTAGATTTTCTTTGGAATTGATGGATTTTTTTTTTTTTAGACTGATGAAAGAATATTGTGAAGTGTCATTCATGCTCTGTTGTTGTTTGTTCTTATGTGTGCAGTGTTTTTGTCATTTTTGTTTTTTGAGCTGGAGTTTAGGATTCTTGAAAGCTATCTCTGAGAAAAAGACCCTTTGCAAATGAGGGTCATTGTTTGTGTTTGCATGTCCCTGGGTACCATCTTTTTAGCAGGGACATGACTTTCTCTCAGTCAGCTTAAATTGTGTTTGGAACTTTACATCGGGTTGACCTTGATCTTTCCTGTCTGTCTGGTATTTTTGCCCGTTGTTGTGTTGCTTTTGAGCATGTTCAGTAACCTCACTACAGTTGGTACGAAATGAATATTTATATCTGTCTGTTCAGGCTTTTTTTGGAAATGTATCGTTTACTGCAGGTCGATAAGTGAAATTCCGATGTCAGTGGGTGGCTATGGTCACTTAGCATTATTTCCGCCTTTTTTAGAAAGTTTGTTATGTGCAGATATTTAAAGTTACTTAGGTCTGTACCAATTGTTCTTGATGCCTTTCTGATCAAATTGTTTATTGTTATGATGTGCTGTCTTCTCAAATTGCTACCATAGCAAGAGATACCAAAGTGGGTGGTTGGCGGGTGCTCTGGTGTGGTTTGCTTCTTCTTTCCTATCAAACGTCTATTGTCTTTATCTCCCCTCCTTTTTTTTGTGTTTGTTACTTTCTTGTAACACCTCTAATCTTTGGCACTTATATGGCGTTATTGTGTTGCAAGTGCCGTAAAACTCTTACTAAAACTAAAAGAGATACCAAAATTTATCAAAGTTTCTATTGTGGTGGTGTAGAATATCTGAAGGATTAATGGAATAAGATTGAAAACCTAAGTTTCCTCAGAAAGTACAGCCTCTGATTTACCTTTTTAATGATATTGTTTACGTGATTTTGCCATATAAATTTGTTGTCGATTGTAAGACCAAGATATTTGTATGAATGTGTGATTTCAATTGTTTCTTGTTCAATTATGAGTGATGGGACTTTTGGTTTTGTTCTTCTAAATCCAAAAATCATTTCCTTTGTTTTTGAGAGGTTCACTTTTAGAAAAGTATTCCCTGTACTTGTAGATATCAACAAGGGCAAGGGAACAAACCTGTTCCCTTTATTTGTAGATATCACTGAATACAACAAACCTGTTCCCTTTATTTGTAGATATCACTGAATACAACAAACCTGTTCCATTTATTTATAGATATCACTGAATACAACAAACCTGTTCCCTTTATTTGTAGATATCACTGAATACAACAAACCTGTTCCCTTTATTTGTAGATATCACTGAATACAACAAACCTGTTCCCTTTATTTGTAGATATCACTGAATACAACAAACCTGTTCCCTTTATTTGTAGATATCACTGAATACAACAAACTTGTTCCCTTTATTTGTGAATATCGCCAAAGATCGTTCATAACAAGATAGTTCACTCCGCCAAAAAAGTGTCAGCGGAAGTCCACGCATTGGTTCTCTTTTGTTTCTCCAGAAGAAGAATAGGAATAGCACAGTTTTTTAGTTTCACGTTTATTGTTTTTCATACAAGTAGGGTAACTCTGATCACAAAGTCTTTTTTTCGAAGAGCATGCCACCGAATTTTGAGGACACTTTTTTAATTGGTTCAAAGAGAGGAGTGAGTGAACTATCTTGTAATGTACGGTCTGTGATACCATTGACTGCAACAAAGCAAACCTACGCCGTTCCCTTTATTTGTAGATACCAGTATCAACAAATGTAGAGAAACTGACCTGTTCCCTGTACTTGTAGATATAAACAAATGTGATGAAACAAATCATTCGCTTTATTTGTAGACACCAGTATCAACGAATGCACTGAAGCAAATTTATTCCATGTACTTGTACATGTAAATGAATGCAACTAAAGCAAATCTTTTCCCTCTATTTGTAGATACTGGTATCAACAAATGCAATGAAACAAACCTGTTCCTGTACTTGTAATATCAAAGAATGCAACGAAACATACCTGTCCCTTTACTTGTAGATATCAACAAATGCAATGTGAAACAAACCTGTTCCCTTTACTTGTAGATATCAATGAATGCAATGAAACAGACCTGAACAAGTGCAGTGAGCAAGACACGTGTGTCAACACTGAGGGGAGTTACACTTGTTCCTGTCGAATAGGCTTCAAGCTGGATAATGATAAACGGACATGCATTGGTAAGATTCTATTTTTAAGCTCAAAAGAAGAGGTAAGTTCTGTTTGTCTGTGTAATGTATCAGCAAAATATAATTGTCAAAAACTGCTTATCCCATTGCCCATTGGTGCCCAATCTTCCTTGTGGAATGTTCTCCTGCCCCATATATAAATACTGAGTGCGTCTCTACCTTAACACTATTAATGTTTATAATTACTGTTCATTTATATTATGCGTGTGACTGTGAGCCTGTTAGTGAGTGCTTGCATACTATTGTAATATTATGGTTATGTGCACAAATGTGTGCAGGAGAGAGGATGTGTCAGAGAAGAGTGTGTGTGTGTGTATAATAATAATAATAATGAAGATCATTTCTATAGCGCCCACTCCCATGTAAACACAGCTCTAGGCGCTTTACATAAATGCATGTACAAACAACATTCACGCACGCTACACACATGCACAATACACACACTCATACACACACACACTAACACACACATATATACACATACACACACAAACACACACATACACACTCATGAACACATAACACGCATACATGTGCACACACATGTATTCCAAACACACACACACACACACATACACGCGCGCACACACACACACACACACACACACACACACACACACACACACACACACACAGCTACTTGCTTATCACACGCACACGCTTACACATCGTCACGAAATGAGCATAAAATAATATACACAATGCAATTCACAAAATACATAAATGGATACATAGTCATTTACATAACATTGTACTGAACATGAATCTACTGACATAAAAAGGATGTCATTAAATGTGTCTTTAAAGATTTCTTAAATTTAGACTCGGATGTTGTATGTCTCAACGGTTGGGGGAGAGAGTTCCAAACTGACGGAGCAAGGTGGGCGAACGATCTTTCAGCTAATTTTTTACCCCCTTTTCTAGGAACTCTTAAAAGATACTGATCGCCTGATCTTAGTGATCTGGATGGAATATAAATCTGGATGAGATCACTAAGATATGAGGGAGCTTTGTTATTGATACATTTATGACATAATATAGCAATTTTATATGACATTCTAGCTGACACGGGAAGCCAATGCAACGTTCTTAACATGGGCGTAATGTGGTCCCTCTTGTTTTTCTTTAGTACAAGCCTAGCAGCATGATTTTGAAAACGTTGTGTATGGGTGTGCACATGTGTGTGCTTGTGCGTGTGCGTGCGCGTGCGCATGCGTTCGTGTGTGTGAAACACCAAACCAATATGGCAGGATCTGGACAATAAAGATGCATCTTATCCTATCTTATCTTATCTTAAAGATCTACCTTTGTCAACAATCAATGTCCAGACTCAAATTTTGTGAAGACTCTTTGGCGGTGGCAGTCCGTGCATGAAACAATTTCTTTACTTTTGACTTACAGAAGGAAACAATGTTTACTTTGTCGTTTCCTATGGGACATTGTCTGAAATTATATTCCTTAATCAATAATAAATATACGTTTTAATCCATAGTTCTTTAATTACTTCTCTTGATTTATAAACCCATCCTGTCTGTGCTTTTAGTAGAAAACAATGCTCACATAATGTGTTTTTTTGGGTGATGACTTGTCAGAGTACCAAATGTTGTTCCTTTGTTTTATTCATTCCCCAGGTATGAGCTACCAAGACATGTTTACCTGACTTTCATGTGTAGCCCATATGGGTCACACACAATGATATTGCTTTTGATTCCTATAAAACATTTGAAAAATGGCTGCAGTGATTATGCTTGCATTCCCCTGCCCCCGCCCACACTTTTGTTATTTCCTGGCAAAGACATCAATTACCGACATTTGACACCAACCTCTAACTATACTATTCCTTGGTTGTTTTTCTTTTTTCTTTTTTTCCCAAACAAATAAACAAAGGAAAGGTTTCCTTCAATTAATAAAAAGGGCCATGATTTTATGGTCTTTATTTTGAATAGTAGAAGGAAAGTTATTCAGTTTATAATTAATTGACAAGTGTGTTCATATTTTCAAGAGATTGTTGAGCTATAGTATGGCTTTCGTTGCACTCTTTTATCTACAGAGTGCCCAGATGGAACATGGGGAATGGGCTGTGCCAATCAGTGTGAGTGCTCGGGGAGATGTGACCGAGTTACTGGTTGTGTTTGTGACAGTGGCTTCACGGGTGAGCTAAAATACATCTTCATTCTTCACAGCTGCAGGACTCTGGGACTGCGTAATAAATCTGTTTTGACATGATAAAATAACTTTTAAGGAAAGTAGGTTTCTCACCGTAAGTCCCTTCTAATAGATGGATCATACAATCACATTCTATTTCTTTCCAACTTAACTCTAGACTGGAGTATACACCATTGCTGTATTTAGCTCATATTCTCATAATCTGCTATCCTTTCCCTTGTAACTAACTGAATGAATTTAGAGACATCTGAATAAATCCATTTTCAAAGGGTTTGACTGCCAGTGACTAGACTCAAAACCCAACCGTTAGTCTTTTATTTTCTTGAAAGAGTGACCCCATAATATGTAATCTAGCACTATAAGATTCTTGAGTACTCAAGTGTATAATTTTCTGGTAGATAGGAATATTTTATGCTGGCCTCTAACTCTAATATTGGTTAAGCACATTACCATTACTTATGAACTATTTTGCAGCTTGTTCTAGAAAACTCCAAATGCAGTTTTGTCTATAGCATCATTGGGACAGACATCTTCAAGGACAGTTTGGCTTCATCTTTTTCTTCCAGGTAGCGCCTGTGAAACTGACATCAACGAGTGTGAGTTAGGTCCTTGTCCTGACTTTGAGATCTGTGAGAACACCAGAGGTTCCTTCACTTGTGCGTGTCCTACAGGCTATAAAAGAGATGGACAAGGATGCACTGGTGAGTTGTTTTATGTTGACTGAGCATGCAAGTTTCAATTGTACTGCTTTACTATATTTATATTGATGTGCTCATCTACTCATACTGTGAGTTTATCTGTGTAAAGGTGAAATGGTTGAGTAAAAATATCTTTTCAATCAAACCTGCCTTAATGGAAACTTTTCCAAGATGGAAACCTATCATTACGTAATCCCCCCCCCACTTGATAAAGTACTCTCTAATAACCTCTTTACAATGGAATCCTGCCAACGCCAACTCTCACTCGGGCCTGCCCATTTTCAATTGGGATGCAATGCAAAGGAATTCACTGACATTTATATTCTTAAAATGATTTCACAATCAGGATCTCTTCTATTAAAACAAAAAAAAACAAAAAGGAAGAATTCTCCTATATTTTTTCTCTTTAAAATAAGGAACCCACTTACATCTTTTATACTAAAGAAAGATAAATGAATTTTTTAAAGTTCAATAATTCCCAGTCAAACTTCCTTCTGTACTAGACTCTAAATTTTTCAATAAATTACCTTTTTATTCCTCTGTGCATTGCATTTATTTCAATTAAAATTCAATTGTGATTGAACGTTTTCCTTCCTAAGAAAAGTTTTGTAAAATGTTGCTCCATATTTAACAATTGTTTCATTTTTATGTACTTGACTGAAATCTTTGATACAACAGGATGAAATCATTCTTAATAAAGTTTTTAAGTTTCAGTGGCATCTGTTCACACAATACAAACTGTTGATATAGATTTGTTTGTCAACAAATTTTGTCTTTTACCGTTGTCCTGATGAATCTACATATATTTGTTTTTAAGCTTTATGAGATATATATATATATATATATGAGAGAGAGAGAGAAAGAGAGAGATACAGAGAGATACAGAGAGATACAGAGAGAGAGAGAGAGAGAGAGAGAGAGAAAGAGAGAGAGGGGGGGAGAGATGCGTTTGTTCCTGGTCTGGTTACTACTGGTCTTTTTTTGCGAATGGTGACTTGGAAACGGATTTTTCTATGTTACTGCCAGTCTGATGGTGCCGGTTTTGATTTCTGCGAACATAGAAAGGCATGCTTTTCTCAGTCACATCATATGATTACCGACGCACATTAGGTTTCACCACAGAGTCACGGGTGGAAAGATGAATAAAATATTGACAAAGTTGATGATGATGATGATGATGATGATGATGATGATGATGATGATGATGATGATG